TCTGGCCTGGAAGCATGGCTCAGTAATTGGCAATAGTTGTGGCTATTTCCATGAGATTACTGATCTCATGCTTCCTCTCGGCTGTAGCGTGGCAGGTTGGCAGCTTCAGTCCCTTCAGTCCACAGCTTCCTGAATGTGTGGAGCAGGGAGTCACAGGGCCTGGTTTCAAATCTTGCCTCTGCCACTGAATGAAGATGCAGACCCGGGCAAATCTCTTCAGTCCCCTGAACCTCAGTCTCTGTATCTGTCAACCCAAGGGCTTTGGGCTGGTTAACCTTCAAAACCTTGCTATCTCCAATAGCGTCTGATTTTTATCTGCAATGGGTACTGTGATATGAACCTCAGGCACAGCATTCGAGACACAGGTGCTCCCTTTCCTCCTCCAGGAAGCCTTCCCTAAACCATATTTACCCCTGAGGCTGGGCTAGAAGAACACCTGGAATTCCACAGCACCTCTACATTGAAGTGGCTGATTTCTTTGTCTCATGCATCCAACTTGGGGCTCCTGGAGGCCAAGATCAAGCTTTCTCAGCAGGTGCCTGGTGCCTGGCAGAGTAACAATCACAGCACTGTAACCGTGTGTGTGTGTGTATAGCTCTCTCCATGTGCGCAGCACACTAAATGCTCCCATCCATTCCTCATTGGTACCATCAGAGTATTGATATCTGTACCCTCTTCTGGTAGGAACAGAAAGAGATTTGAAGAAATGGTGCTGTGCCTATTTCCCCTTGGCCAGAAGCAGCTGAACTGGGTTCAGATCCAGATGTCTAAGAGGCATATTTTTCTGTTATGTCCACCAGAGCTCTCCTTGGTAAACTGGTTTTCTCTTCTTTTTTTTTTTTGGAGAGATTTTCGCTATAGGGTGCATGTGCTCACCAGACAGAGAGAGACAGAGAGACAGAAAGCGAGAAATCAACCCCCAGAGAGGATGGTCATGCTGCAATCCCTTCTCCTCCATTCTCCTCTCGGGATCTTGGACACACATGCACACGCGCCTGGCATGAGTTTTAAGCCACCGGGTCCTGGACACGAACCGCGGTTGACCACGTGGGAGTCCAGCGACATAGCCATTACGCTAACTGCTGGTTCCCTGGTTTTCTCTTCTTGAAGCTCATCTTCTTCTGTCTTCTCTGAATTGGTTATTCTCTGTTGGCCCTTCTGGATCCACTCTGCCCTTCTCAGCCCGACTCTGTGCACTGTGAGGCTAGCTTCTGGACACACTGCTCACTGTCTCCTTTAAGCCCTTGCTTTCAACTGAGTCTGGTCCATGGAATCAAGCTGAAAGTGGAGAGTGAACACTCCATTTCCACTCTCTCTCTGCATTTCTGGCAGTGATTGCCTTTCTCTACCAAACCCTTCAGTCCTCCAGGCAGGCCAGTCCTCTCCTGGGCTTTAGTTCTCCCTAGGGTTCTCTAAAGTGCCTCCATCCACTTATCCCTTCACTCCAAGGCATGGTAACTTGCTTCCTGCCATTGCTAACCTCTGGATGCCTCCAGCCCTTTTGGCTCCTTTCGATCTTTCAGTATCTGGGCAAATACTCTGTTCTCTGAGTGGGCCAGCTGTTTCTTTTCAGGACCCCAATTGCTACATGTGGCCCAGCCTCAACCCTGTTTCTTTTTCCTTTGACGTACTTAGAACTTACAGTCTGGCCAAACTCTACAGTTTCAAATGTTTGCACATATCCACTCTCCAGGGAGACTGGCTTAATTGTAATAAAATGGATAGTATTTGCCTTATGCATTTTTCTTTCTTTCTTTCTTTCTTTCTTTCTTTCTTTCTTTCTTTCTTTCTTTCTTTGTTCCTTTCTTTTTCTTTCTCTCTCTCTTTCTGTCTCTCTCTCTCTCTTTCTTTCTTTCTTTCTCTTTCTTTTTCTCTTTCTTTCTTCCTTCCTTTTTTTTTAAGTTAACTTACTTTGAGAGAAAAAAAGAGAAAGAGAAAGATAAGCATCTTCAACCGGATCTACACCATGATCTCCCCCAGCCTTGCCAGCCAGTCAGGATTATGGGCCCTTGCACTCAGTGTGTGTAGTTTGATTGAGGAACTGAACTTGCGATCTTCCATTTAGATCCAGCATCGCCCAAGGAGTGCATTACTGCTTCCTCATTGAGCCGACCCACCTTATGTATTTCTTTTTTTTTTTTTTTTTGAGAGATTTTCACTGTAGGGCGCGTGCACTCGCCAGACAGACAGAGAGAGACATAGAGACAGAGAGCAAGAAATCACCCCCCAGGGGGGATGGTCACGCCGCAATCCCTTCTCCTCCATTCTCCTTTCGGGATCTTGGGCACGCACGCACACGCGCCCGGCATGAGTTTTAAGCCACCGGGTCCGGGACACGAACCGCGGTCGACTACATGGGAGTCCAGCGACATAGCCATTACGTTAACTGCTGGTTCCCACCTTATGTATTTCTTTTGCACCTGCGATAGGGCAGGCATGATGACAGAGGCTTCTTATCTAGTGACAGTAGGTCTTAGTTCATTTTCTGAGGGTCACTGGCCCTCCCTGCACTATGACATTCCTTCCGCTTGATGGTCTTCTGGCTCAACAAAGGCATTCTCTGGCTTTTGCTGACATCAGGGATTTCGGCCATTACCTTGAGTAGTGGCATTTCATCATGCTGCTGGGCTCCCATCGGGACACATGAGAGTGCAGCCTGCTGGAGACCACTCAGGGCCTTATTTGAGAACAAACATCTCCTTGTGCTAAAGAAGGATGGAGTCTCAGAGCACAGCCCGGACACTGTAGGAACCAGGCCTGTGGTCGTCAAGGGGTCACGTCCTGACTGCCCATGCCCTGCGACTTTCCTCTCACAGACCAGCATTTCCTGGTTGGTTGTCTGCTTATGCCTACATTTTATGAATGATGGCACATGGCCATGAAGCTGCGGTCTGAATCACTGTTTGTTGACCCTGCTAGGGTGGTGAGAGTTACACATTAGCCATGGCTTGCACATGATGTCTCCGCTTTGGTATTGCCCAAGATTCCTTAAAGACCAGGTTTCTAATTGAACCAGCAGAAAAGACCATTTTTTCCCTTCAGAATCTAATACTTTGGACTAAAGTTAAATCACCCATAGATAATGGAGGAGAATTTTTAAAAGGATATTATTTGGATCTCGCATTCTTTAGGCTTTGAGGTACATTGTTAATGTTCATAGTCCAGAATTACAAGTTTTTCCCTTGACACCTGTACCCTCATGGTCATCATAATTACTTTTTATTTTTATTTATTTATTTATTTTTGACTAAACTTCTCTCTTCTCCCAGTCAGGTCTTAGAGACAGCTAATCAGACAAGAAAGTGGGTCTTGGTCATTGAAAAATAGTATTTCTAAACTCAAGAAAAGAAAGTGGCCACCTAATCATAGCATACACATACAAGAATACAAGGGATATCAGAAAATTCATAGGAAAATGGAATTAAAGTACAAGTTTATCTTGGTGCAAAAAATTTGAATTCATGCATTTTTAAAATAATAAACATTTTTATGAACTGTTTGGAGTACCCCTCATGTATACAATACAGCCATCTATATAAAAATGCTATATTACTTTATTAATAAACAAAGTAATAATATATTAGGAGACTCAGAACAATACATGTTTATCAAACACATATGAAGTATATCTCAAACTGTTAACAGTGGTCATCTCTAAGGGGCTACGGATAATCATGACTTTCTGTGTTTTCTTATCTGTTTTCTAACTGTTTTAAATGGCCATGTGTTAATTATGTATAGTTAAAATTTTTTTTTAAAAAAGCTATGCTCCCAAATTAGCAATAAAATAAATAGTAGTTATTTAAAAATACAATGCTTTAGGATATTTCCACATAAACATAAAAAGAGATATGAACAACTCATTCGCTTCAACAGTGGAGAATAAAAGTTGAATGGCACCTCCCCATCCGTCCATTCTATATTTCCTTTGCATTTTGAAGCAAGGATCATGATGCATCGAGGTGTTCTCTCTCCTGTCCAAAGCTGGAAGAGCTGCCAGAACCCACAGAGTCACTGATCCCCCACATGAGTGGAGTTCTGCTTACCTGGAACTGTGCACAGGTGTCTCCTTGGGCCTGGAGCTGGCCCATGAGCAGGTAGGTGGTAAGTGCAGCGAGCATGAGCACCAGGCAGCAGGTGAGAGCCCAGCAAATGCTGCTGCTCCTGGCTTCCAGCCCGCCCCTGGCCTTGGACCTACAGCTGCCTTCCTCGGGCAGCATTTCCACACTGGCTGTTTCCCCAAAGTCCAGCCCCAGGTCCTCAGCCATGCTCCAGCTAGTCCTGGAGGTGCCTTCAACTCCTTTTGGGCAGAGAGACCCCCCATTAAATAGAAGACCAGCTCTCACAGTGTGTGAATAATTCACTCTGCCTACTCCTCCCCTTTTCCTCTCTCCCTCCCATCTCAACAGTGCACTGAAGCCCTGCCCTGCTAGGGAATGTACCGCCTACAACAGAAACCAAGTTTGGTTTAAGAAAAAAAAAAAGGAGAAGAAGAAAGCTTTCCCAAGCATATTTATATACAGTATGCTCATGTGCTCCTTCCTTCGTTTACAGAAGGAAGTTAGGAAAGTCCCTGGAGAAGGAGGAAAAGGATTGATCAAGTCAGTGGGTGGGACAAATTGAAATATACCTATTCCTTGCACTGGAGCCCTGCCAGCTGTACTAGTCTGGGGTGTGTACTTCTGGAAGTGAAAGTGAGGGCTGGGGAGGTGTGTGGCTTGCAGACTGGGAAATGGAAATCATGTTTGCATCAGCCCTTTGCAAGATGCTGGCAAGCCCTCTGTCACTTTGAGCTTCATCAGAACTTGTTCTCATTGTACAGACGTGAGTATCAAAGTTCAGAAAGGTGGAGGCACGTGCCCGAGATCATCCAAGAGTTAAGACGGAGGAGTTAGGAGGATGACTTAGTTCTTCTAAATTGTGATTGGGCTTCTCTACCACACAACTGACTCTGAAAGGAAAATATTTCTGGCCTGTTTTGACCATTGTCCAAGCAGAGAGTTTGAGGTATTGAGGTGACTTTCCCTAGTGGGGAGGACATTGACTACTCCCTGATTAGTCCAAAGTTAGTTGAGCACCAGTGAAATGCCTTGCACATAGTTGGGTGTGTTTGAGAGCCACACATGTACCAAACAGTGACATTTATTATGCACTTAACTTTGTGCCAGTCCCTGTTCAGAGTTAAGTGTTATCAATAAAATACTCAATTCTGAGATAAACTTTTCAGCTGGTAATGTATTTTTCCCATTTAAAAGATTAAGAAATGAAGCACAGAGAGTAAAGGCCAGGATTGAGACTCAAGCAGGCTGGCTCCAGAGCTTCTGGCACTCCTCTGCCATGTGTCGTACTAGACAAGGACACTGCGCCGTTCTACCCAGGAGGAGGTCAATCCCTTCAGTGAAGGGTTGGAGGAGGCTTTCTGGGGAAAGAGGTGGTGTTGGAACTAGGCCTTAGAGCTCAGGGAGAGGTGTTATCAGAGAGAGTAGAGGACTCTGCAAAAGAAGAGTTGTGAATGTAGGAAGCTTAAGGAATAGCTCAGGACATATTGCAGATACCAGTTGACCAGAACTTCCATTCCATTGTTGTATCATAGCTCAAACTCTTCAGGTTATTTATAAAATCTGGTCCCTGGTTACTGTCACCTCTTCCCAATGTCTAGCCTCATTTCTTACTGCTTTACCAAGCTTCCTTCATCTCATCATTCCCTGTGTCTGCTCCCATCCCTTAACTTTCCTGCATCTCTCTGCCTCTAAGATTGGGTGACATGCTCATCTTTCCTGTTCTTATAGCTTCACATTCTTCCTATCTGATTAAACACTCACACTAGACTACACTTGACTACTTTTTTGTCAGTTGCATTAGACCATCAGATCTGGAAGGGCAGCTAACAAGTCATATCCCTTCTTTGTGGCTGTGGCTTATAACATAGTAATTGTCACATAATAGATTTACAACTAGCATCTATTGATATGAACATCTAACATATTGTCAAAGAATTCCAGCAAAGGGTGGTTTTCTGCCTCTTGGTTACTCTTCTTGGTTTAACACATCAATGAAGAGACTTTTCTTAGAGACGAAGCCCTATTTTTTTTTTTGCTATTGTGACTTAACCTTTCTGTAGGTGACTGAGGAGTATTCCACGGTGTGGATATAGCAGTTTGCTTAACTGTGTACCCATTGAGGGACATTTAGGTTATTTCCAGTTTTGAGTAATTATGGATAAAGCTGTAATGAATTTTTGTGCACAGGCTTTTGTGTGAACATGTTTTCATTTCTTTGGCATAAATTCCCAAGTGTGAAATAGCTGGCTTGTATGGTAAGCATGTGTTTAATTTTGTAGGTAACTGCCATACTCTTTCCAGAGGAACTGTATGATTTTACTTCCCAACAGCAATACGTGGAAAATCCAGCATCCTCTCTTCAACCTCTCCCCAGCATCTGATGTGATCCGCTATTTTTATTTTAGTTGTTCTGATAGGTATGTAGAACATACCTCACTCTGGCTTTAGTTTGTATTTCTTTAATGGGTAATACTGGGTTAAAAAAAAGTCATGACATATTTTTCCATGTAAAAATGCATCATGACTTCTGACAACCAATAGTATGGAATATCTTTTCATGTATTTTCTTGCATATTCTCTTAGGTGATATAGACATCTATTTTGGCTACAAGTACTAGATACTTTTTGCTTTATTTTTTTAAAAGTTTATTTCTTTCATGGACAAGAAAGACAGTGATAGAGAGACAGAGATAGAGAGACATAGAGACAGCATTCTCTTGATGCCATGATCCACTCCTGGTTTCAGCCAGCCCAGGGCACGTTCATACCTGGTGTACTCAGGTATACGAACCTAAAACCTTGCTGTGGTCTTGCAGAGAATTGCATTTTACTGTTACTTCACCACTTGCCTCCTCTTCTTACTTCCTTCTTGATTATCAGTGGATTCAAAGGCAAAAGGCAAACATATTACAGATGAATGGTAAGTTATAGCACTTGAGTGCCTACTATGTGCAAGATCGTGTTCTGGGTGCTAAGGGTAAAGCAGTGCAGAGAACAGACCAAAATCCCTGCTTTCATGATGCTTATATTCTAGTTGGGGGTGGGAGTAGCCAGGAAGTAAAATATGTATAGTGAATTAAATGGTCTTAACTTTTCTCTCAGGGAAAAAACAAACAAACAAACAAACAAACAAACAAACAAAAAACCAAAACAAAACCAAAAGAAGATGGGGAATTATTTTAATTGCAACTTAAAGTGGGTGATCAGAAAAGGCCTTACTGAGAGGAGACCTTTGAATGAAGAGCCGAAGAAGGTGAGGGAGGGTGGAAGGAAGGGTAAGCTGTGATGTGGTGTCTGGAAAAAGCAAGCTGCTGGCTGTGAGGCAGGTGTGCAAGGTGTGACCTCAGAGCAGCGTGGTGACCAGTATTGTTGGAGCAGGGAACCAGGAGGAGAGTGAGGGTGATGAAGTCAAAGCTGACCACGTGGGGCCTCCTGGGCCTGGAAAAGATTTAATTTCTCCCTCTGTGAGATGTGTGTGTGTGTGTGTGTGTGTGTGTGTGTGTGTGTCTTTGGAAGGTGTAGGGCCAAGGGACGGCAGGTTCTGATTCTCTTAAAAAATATCTTCCTGAGGGCCACGTGGCTCAATGGTATGGGAAAGGTCTTGGGCTTGCATCCCTAGATCTCCTTGAGCATGCTGGGTGTGTGCATCTCTGTGATCCAGGCCAGCTGAGATTGTGGTGAATCACAGCATGGAAACACTCTTGTTGGGAGCGAGTACTTGTGTGTGTTTATCTCACTAGTTCTCTATCTCTCTCATAAGAAAAATAAGTAAATAAACTTAAAAAAAGCCCATTCAGTTTGCTGGGTGAACATCCTGAAGGGAGAAGGGTAGAATCAGGGAGATCAGTTTGGAAATTATTGCAGTTATCAGGGCAAAGCAGGATGGTAGCTTTCCGAACAGGGCAGTGGCAAGGAGGGTCACAAGCAATAGTGAAGTGTGGATGTATTTGAAGTCAAGCAGACACAATTTGTTATTAAGATGGATATGGGTGAGACAGAAAGAGATGAGAAAAGTGTGGGTCTAAGGTTTTTGATTTGAGTATTGCAAGTCTTCAAGTTCTATAGAGACAGGAAGCTTTGTTGGGAGGAAGCTGGAGGGCTCAGATGCAGATGTGCACCAGTATTTGAGCACATCTAGAAGGAGATGTCTAGATAACCAAGCGGAAATGACCTGGCAGCTGGATGATAAGTCTGAGCTTCCAGGGAGAGCTTGGGTGGGGATATTAACTTGTCAGTCATGCCTGACTCATCACCTGTCACACGGCGAGTGCTCCAAGTGAAGGGCCTCCTAGGGTTGCAGGTCCTCAAGTCTTACATCAGAAACCCCTGGGGTGAGGGTTTAGAAAATATTCGGATGACTGAAATTGCCAGCAGTTGACCATTTTTTGACCTATGGGAGAAATTATTTCATGTGACCCTCCTGAATAATATACTCCATATGTCTTATGTTACACAATGCTCTCAGTGGGGCCTGGAGCAACACCCAGTAATCAAATACAGAAATATATCTGCAGCCCAACATACACTGAATGGGGTAGGTAAGAATTATAAATAATATGTGCCCTTTCAGGTCAGCTTTTCTTGCCAAATGAGGTGGGAAAGCTTTCACTTTATAGATCTTCCTGGATTTTGGATCATGGCCTGTTTTGTTATCACTGTTGTTGTTGTCATCAATGTTACTGTTCTGTGTAGTAGCCAAGCGGTTGAACCTGGCCACTGAGAGGAATATTTCAGCTCAATTTTAAGACTATGTTAATCTTATTCAAACATATATCATGCATCCCAGAGGTGGGAGCGCTGTTTCAAGGGGAAGAATCAAATCTGAACAACCACTTTCTGGGGATATTTAGAGGAAATTCAATAATTGGAGAGGATAGAATTGATGTCTTCTACATCTCTTGATCTTACTGAAGCAGGATGACTCTAAATCATTTTTACCTTTTAGGCTTTACTCTT